TCAAAGGAGTAAAATGAGTTTGACATCCCCGCTAACGTCCACAAATGTTTTCTCATAAGAAAAAAAAGGATGAAAACCTTAATTTTTCTCATAAGATTGATATGCCTTATGCCTTATTTACTATGTTTTTTAAACACAATATAACTATAGAAAGTCAATACTTATCGAATAAGCATTATTTTTTTTTAAAGGAGAGCACGCATGTTTTACTTTTATAAAACATGTATAAATGTAAAGGTTGACTATTCGGTTCAATTGGAACCGAATTGGAAGCTTTTCTGTTTCTTTCTCGCTTCCTCGAGAAGAAGAAGAAGAAAACTATCAGATCTTAATGTTAGGTCCACTGCAAGACAAACAGAAGCAAACACGAAGGTTCGTGGCTTTCAGTGCAAAACGAAAGTTAATTCTCATGTCGACTTATATCACACCACCCTCTGGTGGCCGTGACACAGACACACTTTTCAGGACGTGTTTTTTCCCCATTTTGTGAGAGAAAGTGAAATTGTTGTCTGATTTAGTGTTCGAGGTGACCTTGTTCCGTGTTACAAAAAACGAAGTAACTAACAAAGAATCAAAGAAAGAAACAGGCGGTAAACGGTGACTTAGTGTCGGGCTGCAGCAGCAGCTGCCCGAGTTCTGCCTTCAGTGTAGGAAAGATTAATCATTACACAGTGACCTCGTTTTTGCTGGAAAATCTTAAAGAGACATCATTTTGTGATATAATCCGTCCAGGGTGTAGAGAAATCTAAGGAGCCACAGGAGAGCAAAGCATGATAAGACAAAATAAAGTTGATTTTTTTTAAAGTAAACTCTCTCACACTAAACTTCAGTCATCCCTGCTGTCCACGGGTCTACAACTGTGTCTATATTTAGTTTGTCATTTGTGGAGCAGGTCAGCTGGGACCCCTCCGCAGGACACGCCTCTCGGCTGAATGGAGTGCGTCGCGCGTAAAGTCCGACCTGTAGCACATACAAACTTTTCTGTTTCTCGGGAGTTTTTGTCTTTTTTAAAATAAGTATCCATTTGGCGCAACCGATCGGTCTTTAGACGACTAAATGCAGCGATGACTCGAGAGGAAGATCTCATCCGGATTGCAAAAAAACTGGACAAGATGGTGTCTAGAAATAACACGGTGAGACTATATTTTGACACCCACAGGTGGCGCGTTGTCCCGCCACCTCGCGCTGCGCAGAAGGCCTGCAATAGACTTTTCCATAAATTAAAATGGGCTCCTCTTCTTTTCTGTTAAACAACGAGTTTGATTCCTGCTGACTCGGTGTGTTTGGAAAGTGTGCAGAAGTGAAGCGCGAGCTTGACCGTAACAAACGATCAACAGGTGTTCGTGGGTTTGCGTGTATTTCTCTTGCAGGACCGTTTCAGTTGCCAGTGTGCAGCTCTGCTGTGTAGCCCAGCTCTTTTGTGTTTGTCAAAAGCTTTTCTCTCTCTCTCTCTCTCTCTTTCTGAAAATGCTTAGCGAGTTTAACTGACATGGAAGTGCGCAGAACAGAAAGTAAACACCGCGGCCTGTGGGCGTAAGGCCGTGCTCGTGTTGTGACTGAATCTGCAAACACGACATTGTTCGCGTCGCTCCTGCACAGTTAGGGGGCTGCACAAGATAATGCCACCAGCTGTAATCCGAGTAAACAGCCATGCAAAACAGTGAATCTAATGTTGTAAAAATGCCATCGAGTGCTAATGAAAAAATAATAATAAAGAAGTGAAACTGTTCTTGTTTGCTAACCACATTGCGCTTTCTTTTTTGAAAGGTTAACGCATTCTTGTTGCCAGATCTGTGCATTACACTGTTATTACGCATTTCTAAATGAACCCTTTCAAGAGTTAGGGGGTTGCAAGTAACGATGTCACTGTTTGGTGAATACAGGAGGGCGCCATTGACCTGCTGAAGGAGCTGAAAGGCGTCAATATGACTCTCAAACTTCTACAGGTGGGTTACATTTTAATTTTGCTGATCATCCTGGGGAAATGGGGAAAAAAGAAAAATAATTAACCCACGTGTCTATGTTGGCTTCAGGAAACGAGAATTGGAATGTCTGTTAATGGTATCAGGAAGCACTGCACAGATGAAGAAGTGATTGCTTTGGCAAAAGTTCTCATTAAAGACTGGAAAAGACTTCTGGGTACACACACTGATTTACATGCATACTACAGTGTTTTCACAGCGGTGAAATGGTTGCTTGTGCAGTAAATACATCAGCACGGAGTCTGATTCGCTGATATGATTTCTCCTCCAAAACACGCACTCATGCAGACTCTGGCC